TTTTATGTATTTTTAGTAGAGACAGGGTTTCACCATGTTGGCCAGGCTGGTTTCGAACTCCTGGCCTCAAGTGATCCACCTGCCCCAGCCTCCCAGAGTGCTGGGATTACAGGCGTGAGCCACCGTGCTTGGCCAAAAAGTAGAGTTTCTGAGACAGGAAGCTTGAAAATAATAGCATGCACTTATTGAACGCTTACTTCATGCCTGGCAACTTACATGCACCAGCTCAGCGAAAGCTCACAAGAATTCTGTCAGGTCAATGCAGGCATTAGCTGCGTTTGACATGTGCATTTTCCACAAGTAAGTCGTAGCTTGTGGAAGCGGCTGGTGGGAGTGCGTGCACCAGTAGTTACCGGACAGTGGAACCAGGCTGCCTCCCTAACTATTGGGCTTTACAGGCTCTCTGCACCCTGAGTCTGTCAGTGAACATCGCGATTCCCAGCAGAGTCTCTGGTTCCAAACCGGGGATGAGAACTCCTGGGCTCTGGGAGATTTCCTGAGGCCACAAAGGATTTGGTCGAGCACACACAGGGATTTTTCTAGTTTTAGATATGATTTAATTCAAAGTCTCTGCCCGCTCCCGGTCTGTTAGAGGTGCGGCAAGTGGGGGAGGCAGGAACCTCCCCTCGCTGGTCCAGGGGTCCCCCACCCGATCCCGCTGTCCCCGGTAATGCCCCCCTTGGCAGGTCCTCCGCTCTGCGCCCGCAGCTCCAGGCAGCTCGAGAGCGCGGGACTGCAGGGCGGGGGGCGAGGGGCTGGGAGTGGGGGGGGGGCGGGCGGAGGGAGGAACAATGGCCCCCTCCCCTCCCCTGACCGGCTGGAGGGTGGGGTCTCCCCGCCCCGCCTCCCCGCTCCTCCCCCGACAAGGCGATGAGGTAATCGCGCCGCTGAGAGGCACGCGCAGCCGGTGCCCAGCCGGTTGGTCCCCGCGCCCCTGCCCCGCCGGCCACCGCCCCCCAGCACCGTCCCGGCCCCGGCCGCCCGGCCCCACCATGACCGAGCGGTGCAGCCTGTGGAGCGCCCTGTCGGCCGCCGCCTGCTGCTTCTACCGCGGCTCCTTCGTGCAGGTGCAGGTGAGGGGGCGGCTCGGCCCCCGCCACGCGCGCTGGGCTGGGACCCCGGCCGCTCCGCCCGGGGCCCTAGAGCCAGCCAGGGAGCTGCAGCCCGGCAGGGTTGGGTCCGGTCCGGTCCGGCCCAGCCGGGCGGTCTGGGGAGGGGGCGGGGTCGCCCCAACCTCACCTCTGGGCGCCCAGGAGCTCCGCAGGGTGAGGGTTCAGCGACCACTCCTGGGATTCCGGGCTGCGGGGGATGCCGGTCCGGTTCTGCCTCCTCCGCAGCAGGGAGAGAGCTGGGGCGGGAGGACTGGGAGATGGGGTCCCCTGCGCCCTGCCTGTCCTTCGCCTGGTACGCTGGCCCTTGCGGCTGACCCAGGCACCCGGGCTCCCCATTGTACCTGGGGCGCTGGGCTGGGGTCTGAAGGCTGAGTGAGGAGCAGGAAACGCTGGGGATGCTTCGGGTGCCAGGGTTGGGGCCAGAGCGCCCGCCACCCTCCCGCCCTCTAGCTGGGCACGGGCATGCCTGGGGCACGGGTCTCTCCTAGCCCAGCTGGCGGGCAGTGCAGGACGGCGCCGCGGCGGTGAGAGGGTTAAACGGAAGGGGGTGGAGGGGAGGACCCGGACCCCGCCTCTCTGCGGAGCATCCTTTGGGGACGGCTTTGCTTGGGGTTGGGACGCTGAGAGGAGCTGGAAGGGATGCTGGGCTCTCGCTGGAGGGAAGGGGTTAAGACACTGTCCGGGGGTCTCCGCCCTCCTGCCCACTGATCCCCCTGGGAGACGCCAGGCGCGTCGGCTCTGCGCTCCCCCAGGCTAACACACGCGCGCGGAGCCCGCCTGAAGGACAGCCCCGCCGGCAGCGGAGCGCAGCATCCCCGCACCGGCCAATCAGGCGTGCGCAGGCCGGGAGGCGGTGAGATCATCTCTGGCCAATAGCAGGGCGCCGAGCGCAGGGATGCTGCATTCGCACCCCAGCACCCTCAACTCTAGGGAGCTGGGGCCCCAGGTCGAGGTGAGATCAAGGCACAGGGACTCTAGGGTACCTCACCCTCAGGTGTGCAGGAGGACCAAGTTGGTTCCCCCAAACTCTCTGGAAGCAGTGGTTAAGCTGGCAAAGGGGAGCCCAGTCTCCCAGCCCCCTTTAACGGATGAAGCTGTCCAGGCCCAGAGCGGGGAAGTGACTGGCTCAAGGTCACACAGTGGCAGCCTTGGGGTGGGTTCTTCAACACCCAGCCTCCTCCCTCATTTGCCCGTGTCCCTCTAGCTCCAGCTGTGGAGCTGGGGGAAGGTGTCAATCGCATGCTCTTTGTCAAGGAGGATACCAGAAGGCTGGGGTCCTGGTTCCCTTTTTCCCGGTGACGCCCACTCTTCCCTCCCCAGGGTTTGGTGTGATATGAGGAAAGAGGACTAGGCTGGTGTGAGCACCACAAAGTGAGAGGGAGAGAGGCCAGGGACCACCAGAAATAGGGAACCCCTTGGAGAAGGGTAGGTGGCTGAGAAGGCCCGGATCCTAGCTCAGCCCTGGCCCTCTCTGCCCTTCAGGGACATCAGTTTCTACCATGGGTGGAGGATGTACAGAATTCCCACCACCAGGCTCCGCCTTTTGCCTGAGCACCTGTGCAAACCGCCCACTCCCACCGTCTGTCCCCACAGCCCTGCAGGCTCTTCAAGGTCCACATTTTCATGGGCCCACTGCCAAGCTGCTCCTGCCCCAGGCTTGCCCACTCAAAGCATGCCCTATCATCCTTCCAGGATCTCAGCCTGGAGTCCTCTCTGACTCCTCCACCCCAGTCCCCCACATAGATCAATGGACATCTAAACTCCCCTTCCCCCACTCCCTCTCCCACACCCCATCTGCCCCACCACTGCCTGGAAAACTCTAGGCTGCTCTCCACAGGTGGACTAAACCTGCCCCAACATTTCCAAATCCTTCCATTGCTCTGCTGTGGCCTCCGGGTAAACCTCAGCTCCCTGAGGCAGCCCTTCCACACCTGCCCCTACCCCAACAGCCCCTTGGAAACTTCTCACCCATCTCCCCTCCCTCCCCTTGGTTCTGCCTGTAGGGCCCTGACTTTGCAGCTGTCTCCCCAGAAGCTCTTCCCTGCCCACCTGTCTACCCACTCTCTCCACCCTGGTGCTTCTGCTTGGGCTCCCTGAGTCCTTCTTCAGGCCTCAGCAAAAGCATCACCTTTTCAGGGAAGTGATCCCTGACTCTGCCCCCTGCCTAGGTTGGTGGTGCACCATCTCCGTCTGTGCATCTCTGAACATTCAGGAAACCTGGAATTGACTGTCAGTGTCTGCAAGGGCTCCCCAGGGCAGAGGCTACCTTGGGTCCTCAGCCCTGGCATAGGACCAGGGTAGGGACTTAGTCAGTGTTGAATGGAGTCAGAGATTCTAGATTATCTCTGACACTGGGAATCATGGTGTCTTGGGAGCAATGCAGACTGGGGTAAACCCAGGCAGTGTGGGAGCAGAGGGGTGAAGGATGTGTCCGTAGAATTAGGACGCAAGATCTGTGGATGATCTGAGGAGGCAGGGAGTGGACTGGAGGACCCTTGGACTCTGGGGAGCCAGGGATCCCAGGGAGAGATTCACCTGGAATGAAGGCCCTTTACTGTCCTCCCTCATCGATCCTGCCTTTTGGTGTCTGTCTATCTTGGGGTAGTCATCTTTGGGGTTCAGAGTCGGGAAAAGGAGAGGAAGGACTGTCCCATGTGCTCACAGTGATGAGGATGTCCATGTACCAGTAGTATTCTGGAGTGCTGTCTCTTTTCATCCTCGCGTGAGGTGAGGCAGTTTCTGTCACTGTACCCATTTCAATGAGGAAGAAATTGAGGCCCAGAGACCTCACATGGCACAGCCAGGATTGGGCTGGGCTCTGGTGGGGGTACACCTGGCACTGGGGACTCCGCTTCCTCAGTCCTTAGGGCCCCTGGGGTCCATCAGCCTCCAACTCGAGGCCATAGTAACCAGGAGTCTCTCCTGGGCCAGGTGGGAGGGTGGAGTACTGGGCATCATTTCCCTCAGTGGCCTTGGACTTCCTTGCTGGGCTGTGATCTCCCCATCTGGTGAGGATTGCTGGGGATTTCAAGGGAGAGATGGCCTTGGAAATTGTAAGGGGCAATGTAGATGTCTGTGTAGGGTCCCCATGTCCCGGTTTATGGTCCCTTCCCCATACTTGCACTGTAGCATGCATCATCCCAGTGCAATGCTATCCTTGTCCAACCAGCTTTGTGGTTTTGCTCATACCTTTTCCTGCAGCACCTGCCGCCTTGCCTCCAAGATTCACCTGTAGAAATCCCCCTCTGACACTTCAAGATCAGTTTGGTGCCCTTGGTGCATAATGAGTGTTTTCTTACTGCCATCTCCTCCAGGAAGGCCTCCCAGATCCCTCTGCCTCACCCAGACTTATTCCTGCTTGTAAAAGCCATCCAGCTCTTTGCCGCTGTCCAGTGCTGTGGTGCTGACTGCACTCAACTCAGAGGCTCCCGGTGCTTTTGCCTCTCCTCGGCCTAGGCACTGCCTTGAGGGCTGGGCTTGATTTATGTATCACTGCACCCACCCCTGGCATATAACACAGGACCTGGAATGCAGTTGGCATTGTTTGGTGGAATGAATTGAGATTTCTTTACTCTTTCTGGGACCCATGGGAATGGACCTTTCTGGTACCTGTGCCTTAGTTCTCCCAGAGTCCCAGGAGAGGAGGAGTTCACCCAGGGTAGAATGAAGTTGGGAGGGCAGGAGGAAGGGGGCTTTAAGTTGGATGCCAACTTTTGCTGTCTCCCCCCCAGTTCTCCAAGGAGAAGTACATCCTGGACTCATCACCAGAAAAACTGCATAAGGAATTGGAGGAGGAGCTCAAACTCAGCAGCACAGATCTCCGCAGCCACGCCTGGTACCATGGCCGCATCCCCCGAGAGGTGAGCGGGCCCCAAGCTGGGACTTCGACCCTGTACCCTCCCACGCACTGCCTTGGCCAGCCCTAACCCTGGCTGCAGCCACCTGGGAGACCCTGACCTATTAGTTGGTAGATTCAATCAGAATGCACTGGGATGAGGTCTAGCTCTGCCCTTACTATGTGACCTTGAACAAGTTGCTTCACTTCTCCAAGCCTCAGCATCTACTGCAAAGGCTTGTTGTAAAAATTAAATGAAACGATACAGGTAAAATATTTAGCATGATGCTTGACACCATGAATGTTGGCCTTTGTTGTTATTATTACTGTTATTGTTACTGGTCTATATATCTGCTTACTGTACATTTGCTTAGTGAGTACCAATCTTTGGGCTACTTAGTTTTGGCAAAGTTGAGTTTCTTGGCCAATGTGACTTTATTTTTGTTTTTATTTTTTTGAGACAGAGTCTTGCTCTGTCGCCCAGGCTGGAGTGCAATGGCACATTCTTGGCTCACTAAACCTCCACCTCCTGGGTTTAAACCATTCTCCTGCCTTAGCCTCCCAAGTAGCCAGGATTATAGGTGCACACCACCATGCCTGGCTCATTTTTGTATTTTTAGTAGAGCTGGGGTTTCACTATGTTGGTCAGGCTGGTCTCAAACTCCTGACCTCGTGATCTGCCCGCCTCGGCCTTCCAAAGTGCTGGGACTATAGATGTGAGCCACCACACCCGGCCCCGAGGTGACTTTATAAGCCACAGACTTAGGCTGATACATCACTTGTTCCTTCTTTCATTCATGCTGTAATCACCATGAGTTTGCCAAGCACCAACTCTGCCAAGACCTGTGCTAGGCACCACTGATGCAGAGGTTGAAGAGGTGGTGGCTTCTCTTGAGGGCTAATGACTTGCAGGGGCTGGGTACTGACAGTCAGAGCCTAGTGGGAGAAATGCAGGAATAGAGTGCCTGGCATGAATATGGTTGAGTCCCAAGGAAAGGACACTGAGGAGGGAGGGCTTTGTGAGATGGATAGGAGTTCACCAGGTAGGACTGGGAACAGTGGCTCACGCCTGGAATCTCAGCACTTTGGGAGGCCGAGGCCGGTGGATCACCTGAGGTCAGGAGTTTGAGACCAGCCTGGCTGTCTCTACCAAAAATACAAAAATTAGCCAGGCATGGTGGTGGGTACCTGTAATCCCAGTTACTCGGGAGGCTGAGGCAGGAGAATTGCTTGAACTCGGGAGGCGGAGGTTGTAGTGAGCTGAGATCGTGCCACCACACTCCAGCCTGGATGACAGAGTGAGACCCCATCTCAATAATTAATAAAAAAGTTAACAAACAAACAAATAAGTTCATCAGATGGACAAGGCAGGAATGGTATTCTAGGAACAGAAAGCAGCTTGGTGCAAGGGCCAGAGGCATGCCAGAGCACTGGGTGGTTGAAGGAATGAGGATGAGGAATTCACTCTGCCCAACCAGAACCCTGATAAGGGGTGGGTCTGAGACCTGGGTCTCAGATCACGACCATTCTCGCTTCTCCAGACCCTGGGCCTCTGTGCCTTCCATTCCAAGGTGTCATGTCCTCCGATTCCTGAGCCTCTGTGCCGCAGACCCAGGGCCTCTGGCTGAGGTGCCCCTCTGAACCAGGGTCATTGCATCCCCACTCTCAAGCGTCAGATGTCAGATGTTTCTGTTCACTGGGCCCTCTATACCCTGGGTCTGATCTTGCTGTTTCCCCCAATCCCGGGTTGCTCTGACCCCCAGATCCTGGGTCCAGCCCTCTCCTGGCTCTGCCCTGCTCCAGCCTAACCATACCTTCTGCAGGTCTCAGAGACCTTGGTACAACGCAATGGTGACTTCCTCATCCGGGACTCGCTGACCAGCCTGGGAGATTATGTGCTTACGTGCCGCTGGCGCAACCAGGCCTTGCACTTCAAGATCAACAAGGTGGTGGTGAAGGCGGGCGAGAGCTACACGCACATCCAGTACCTGTTTGAGCAGGAGAGCTTCGACCACGTGCCCGCCCTTGTGCGCTATCATGTGGGCAGCCGCAAGGCTGTGTCGGAGCAGAGTGGTGCCATCATCTACTGCCCTGTGAACCGCACCTTCCCACTGCGCTACCTCGAGGCCAGCTATGGCCTGGGACAGGGGAGTAGCAAGGTCGCCAGTCCCGCCAGCCCCTCCGGCCCCAAGGGCAGCCACATGAAGCGGCGCAGCATCACCATGACCGATGGGCTCACTGCCGACAAGGTCACTCGCAGTGATGGCTGCCCCACCAGGTCAGCCAGAGCCCCATTTGTCAAATGGGGGTGTAGGTAACAAGAGGGCTGGTGAGAAAGGGGAGGCCCAGCCACATTGAAATGGGAGGAAGTTACTCTCCTGGAGCCTCTGTATGCAGGGAGGAATGGGAGGAAGGTTGGGCCATACTACATGGATATACGGAACACCGGGCTTGCAGGGAGTCAGACCCGGGTTCAGTCCCAGCTCTGCCGCTCACTGGTCATGTGCCCTTGACCCTGTCACTTCTCCATTCTTATCTCACATTCCTACCTATAAAGGCTTTCATTCAAGCAGCCCTCCCTACCCCAAGGGAGCCCTGAGTCCTGAACAAGAGAGGGGCCTGGTCTCCACTGCCCGATGCCACTCTTCCTCATCCTACCCATCTAGGCCAAGGTGGGCATCCAAGCAGAGGGCTTTACAGCATGGAAATCACTGCACAGGGAATGGGATGTTCTCAGTGAATTTTAATCACACCCAGTTGTCTCTGGGGCTAAGACCAGGCCCTGGATGCTGGGAAAACCCACAGCAGCTAAAGGTTCCTGAGAGCCTCCTACGTGTTAAGTGTTGTACATGCCCAATCTCATTAGTGCCCACTTCCTTATGGGAGGTGGGTTCTGCCCATACACCCACTTTATAGATAATGACGCAGGCTTAGAGGGGGAAAGCTGCTTGCTAGATAGTGCTAGGATCAAGACCCAAACCCAGGTCTGTAGACTCTGAACTCTGCGCCCCAAGTTTCTGTTGCATCCCTGGTTGTTTTCAAAGAGATCCGCTGTCCTTTGCCACCTGCACTTGGACAGGCCCTTGAGGCCACATCTCCCTGGCCTGGGTTGGGTACTCCCAGCCAAGGAGTTGACGAATGGATACCTTGTGAGACAGCAGCCACTTGGCCTGTGGTTTGGAACCAGTACACATAATGGTGCCAGGATCCATGGACCATGTGTGCCTGAGACATCCTGAGCATAGTTGGGAGCAGAGAGGAGAGGTCAGGATGGTGGTCCCACTCCCTAAGGCTCCCACCCTTCCTGCGGGCCCCTCTCCCCAGACAGTTCTCCAGGCTGGAGGAAGTCTCTGCTTATCAAGCTGAAGGCACTAGTGAGGGGCTGTGTCTGCCCAGAGAATGGTTGTAGTTGACTAACTTGCAAAAGGCACCTCGTGGGGTAGTTGAATTCTGGCCTGTACCCCCTTTCCCATCCTCTACTCCTCAGGAAAAGAGAGGGACAGAGGATCCTGAAAAGTGTTGGCTCAGCTGGGTGCCTCCAAGCCTCATCCTCAGGCTTCTCTAAGCTTTGTGGAGGGGAAGGCTGGGTAGGAATGGAGGAGAGCAGGGCCATGTGGAGGATACTGACTAGGAACCGGGTGAGTGGCCAGGCCCTGTGGCTCATGCCTATAATCCCAGTACTTAGGGCGGCTGAGATGGGCAGATCACATGAGGTTGGGATCTGCCTGACCAACATGAAGAAACCCCATTTCTACTAAAAATACAAAACTAGCCAGGTGTGGTGGTGCATGCCTGTAATCCTAGCTACTCAGGAGGCTGAGGCAGGAGAATCACTTGAACCTAGGAGGCAGAGGTTGCGGTGAGCTGAGATCGTACCATTGCACTCCAGCCTGGGCACCAAGAGAAAAACTCTGACTCAAAAAAAGAAAAAGAAAGCCAGGTGTGCTCACCACCAGGGTTCCTAACTCTGCTCCTGACTCACTGTGTCCCCTCTGTCCTCTGGGCTTCAGGGTTTTTTGTACCTGTCAGTCAGAAGGTTGGATTTGATGATCTCCAATCTTCTCTGCCTCTGAAGTTCAGGGTGCAGAGGTGGGGGTTCCAGAGGCAGGCCGAGACCCCTGACCTCGAGGCTCCCTGCCCATGACAGTGTCTGTTCCACAGTATGTCGCTGCCCCGTCCTCGGGACTCCATCCGCAGCTGTGCCCTCAGCATGGACCAGATCCCAGACCTGCACTCGCCCATGTCGCCCATCTCCGAGAGCCCTAGCTCCCCCGCCTACAGCACTGGTATGGCCAGCAGAGGGGGTGGAGCAGGTGGAACGAATCTGTCATTGATGACTTCTGTCACCTGTGTGTGGTTATGTGTGTTTTCTCTCTTTACTGAGAGCAAGAATTGACACTAAAAACCTGTTAGGAGAGCTGTTGGTATCAAGATACAAGATGTATCCATGGCTTGTTCATTTAACAACAATTTATGTATTTATTTATTTTTCTAGTAGCTTACCAGAACCAGGTGGAATATTATTTATTTATTTTTAAGATGGAGTTTTGCTCTTGTCCCCCAGGCTGGAGTGCAGTGGCGCAATTTCAGCTCACTCAACCTCCGCCTCCTGGGTTCAAGCGATTCTCCTGCCTCAGCCTCCTGAGTAGCTGGGATTACAGGTACCTACCACCAGGCCTGGCTAATTTTTAGTAGAGATGGTGTTTCACCATGTTGGCCAGAGTGGTCTCAAACTCCTGACCTCAGGTGATCCATCCGCCTCGGCCTCCCACAGTGCTGGGATTACAAGCGGGTGACACTATGCGCAGCTAATTTGTATTTTTAGTAGAGATGGGGTTTCGCCATGTTGGCCAGGCTGGTCTTGAACTCCTGACCTCAGGTGACCGGCCCACTTTGGCCTCCCAAAGTGCTGGGATTACAGGCGTGAGCCACCACACCCGGCCTCCTTTTTTCTTAGTAGACTTTATTTAAGCTGGGTGCGGTGGCTCACACCTGTAATCCCAGCACTTTGGGAGGCTGAGGTGGGCGGATCATCTGAGGTCAAGAGTTCAAGACCAGCCTGGCAAACATGGCGAGACTCTGTCTCTTAAAAAAAAAAAAAAGATTTATTTTTTAGAGCAATTTTAGGTTCACAGCAAAAGTTAAGTGGAAAGTACAGAACACTGTGCTTTCTTATAAATACAAAGAAAGTTTCTATGTTAGAAACATTCCAATAGGTCATTTCTGGAAAAAACACAAAAAGAATGTTTCCAATAGTCCATATTGTCCACGTGGCAGGCCAAGTGTCTTGAGAGGGGGCTGTCCCAGGAGGAACTTTCGCCTAGGGAGGCATTCCACTGAAGTGTTGCTGTCCGTATTGGTTGTCACAAATCCTTCCCTAAACACAGAGCTACTAACTTTGTCATAACTACAAACTTGATTTCAAAGCAATACCCCTGAGTATAAAATGTGAAATTCCTTGCCAGAAATGACTTATCGGACAATTTCTAAGCAATGTGGTATAGTAAAGCACTATAAATCCTGTCAAGACTTAAATCCTGGCTCTACCACTTGCTGGCTGGGTGACCTTGGAGCCTCAGTTTTCTCATCTGTGGAATGAGGATTATAAAAGTACTTATCCCCAGGATACTGAAAGGGTTAAATAGACTGAGCTACAAAGAAGGGTCTTGCGGACAGTGAGAGCTCAGTAAATACTGCCTCTGAGGTTTGATGATGGTTTTACTGCCCTTATATCTCCAGCATGTTACATTGTGTGCCTTATATCTCCAGCACACAATGTATAGCAACAAATCATTATTGCTAATTCAGGCTGGGCACAGTGGCACACATCTGTAATCCCCGCTACTCAGGAAGCTGAGGCAGAAAAATCGCTTGAACCTGGGAGGCAGAGGTTGTGGTGAGCTGAGATAGTACCATTGCACTCCAGCCTGGGCAACAGAGTGAGACTCTGACTAAAAAAAAAAAAAATTAGCCGGGTGTGGTGGTACGTGACTATAATCCCAGCTACTCAGGGAGACTGAGGCTCAAGAATTGCTTGAACTCACGAGGTGGAGGTTGCAGTAAGCCTAGTTGGCGCCATTGCACTCCAGCCTGGGAGACAGTGAGACTCTGACTCAAAAAAAAAAAAAAAAAAATCCTTATTGCTAATTGGTTGAGAAACAATTACACGTGGCACAAGAAATTGCAGCAGGTGCTCAGCTTCCCTGGATCACTGGATGCTCCTCCAAGCAGTGGGTCCCCAAGGCTGCAGCAGCCTCAGGGTGGGGCCATGCAAACTCCTGGGTCCTGGTGATTTCAGAGCATCACCTGGGCTGGTCAGCTTGCCAGAGTCTGCCAGCCCTGGTCTCTGCTTATGCTGGGAGGTGGGGACATCACCTCTGTACTCCCTACAAGGAATGAGGAAGTCTGGTCTTTGGGAAGGGATGCAGGAATCTCACTTTGGTGGGGAGCTGCTGTAACTGGGTCTCTCTCTCTACCTTTCTGCAGTAACCCGAGTCCATGCTGCCCCTGCAACCCCTTCTGCCACAGCACTGCCTGCCTCCCCTGTTGCCCGCCGTTCCAGTGAGCCTCAGCTATGTTCCGGAAGTGCCCTAAAGACCCATGGGGAGCCAGACAAGGGTCCCCACACCAGCCCCTCCCACACCCTCTGCAAGGCCTCCCCGTCACCATCACTCAGCAGCTACAGTGACCCGGACTCTGGCCACTACTGCCAGCTCCAGCCTCCCGTGCGTGGCAGCCGAGAGTGGGCAGCGGCTGAGGCCTCCAGCCGGCAGGCCAGGAGCTATGGGGAGAAGCTAAAGGAACTGTCAGAAAATGGCGCCCCCGAGGGGGACTGGGGCAAGACCTTCACAGTCCCCATTGTGGAAGTCACCTCTTCCTTCAACCCAGCCACCTTCCAGTCACTACTGATCCCCAGGGATAACCGGCCGCTGGAGGTAGGCCTTCTGCGGAAGGTCAAGGAGCTGCTGTCGGAGGTGGATGCCCGGACGCTGGCCCGGCATGTCACCAAGGTGGACTGCTTGGTAGGTGCTGGCTGTGCACTGGGGTTGGGGGAGCGCCTCTGTTCTCTGGGGCAGGGCAGTGAGAAGCTGGCTCCCAGATTCCCCTAAGTACAGCAAGTGGGCCGGATTCTAGCTCCATGGCTGTCCTTTGCCTGCTCTGTCTCTGGGCTGGTCATTTAGCCTCTGTGGGCCTCTGGTTTTTCCTTTTAAAAAGCACATAAGGCCGAGGGTTGTGGCTTATACCTGAATCCCAGCACTTTGGGAGGCTGAGGCGGGTGGATCACCTGAGGTCAGTGGATTACCTGAGGTCAGCAGTTCAAGACCAGCCTGGCTAACATGGTGAAACCCCATCTCTACTAAAAATACAAAAATTAGGCATCATGGCAGGTGCCTATAATCCAAGCTACTTAGGAGGCTGAGGCAGAAGAATTGCTTGAATTGGAAGGTAGAGGTTGCAGTGAGCTGAGATCACACCACTGCACTCCAGCCTGGGCAACAGAGGGAGACTCTTTAAAAAAAAAAAAAAAAAGCACATAAGAGATCCTTGCTTCCTCCAGATGCCAGTTTGGCACTAGAACAGGGAAGACAGTTGTCTCTGGCTCCCTGAGGCACTTGGGGACACTTCTCTAGAAAAGGCCCAACTCTCTGCCCCCACCCCCTTAGTGGACAGATAAGCAGAAGTCATGACCTCCTCAGCCCATAAATTGTCAATGCCCAGGCCTTAGCTTTGTTGAGTCTTTGAACATCTAAAGACCCCAGTTCTCTCTATGCCTCAGTTTCTCCTTTTGCAGTTTGGGAGAAACTGATTACTGGGTTACACTGGTCTCAGAGCACAGGAAGCAAGAAAAGAGACAAGGCAGAAAGGTCGCTCCATGAAGAGTCCTGGGTGGCAGGGAGGACCCAGGTTATAGGCCCAGTGTGTGACTTTGGGCAAGCCCATTCCCTCCCTGGGCTTCAGAGTTTCCCTCTGCAATGAACAAGTATCGTGTACTTGACCTTAACTGAATTTGTATGTATGTATGTATGTATGTATGTATGTATGTATGTATTTTTTGAGATGGAGTCTTACTCTGTCACTGAGGCTGGAGTGCAGTGGCAGGATCTCAGCTCACTGTAACCTCCACCTCCTGGGTTCAAGTGATTCTCCTGCCTCAGCCTCCCAAGTAGCTGGGACTACAGGCACATTCCACTGTACCCAGCTACTTTTTGGATTTTTAGTAGAGATGGGGTTTCGCCATGTTGGCTAGGCTGGTCTCAGACACCTGACCTCAGGTGATCCTCCCACCTCGGCCTCCCAAAGTGCTGGCAATTCAGGTGTTAGCCACCATGCTCAGCCAACCTTAACTGAATATTTACTATGCCAGGCACCTCTGGACATTTTTCCATTAATCTCCATTTCACAGATGGGGAAACTGAGGCTCTCTGAGAAAGGCAGAGTCACTTGTTCCGTATCAGAGGGTTAGCCGTGGAGCTGGGATTCAAACTCCACCTCCCAACCAGGCTACCCCCTTAGATAAAAGCTCTCTGACTCCCAGATGGCTGGGGCCAGCCGTGACAGGATATTAATCAGCCCTCTCGGCGTCTTTGCAGGTTGCTAGGATACTGGGCGTTACCAAGGAGATGCAGACCCTAATGGGAGTCCGCTGGGGCATGGAGCTGCTCACCCTCCCCCATGGCCGGCAGCTACGCCTAGACCTGCTGGAAAGGTGAGGCAGCGCCGGCACCCGGGGACTCGCGGGGAACCCCCGGCTACCGCACTACCCGCTGGCCATGGCGGGTTGGCCAATCATAGCCTCTCAGCCCCGCTGCTGGGTGCTCTGGCCACGCCTCCCATCCCATTGACCAATTGCAACCCCTGATGACTCCCTCTAAGCAAACTGATTTCCCAAAGACTGAGTCCTGTATTTCCGCATTCGCCTTCCTTTCGCATCCCCTTGACCAGTCATCCACTGGACTATCAGCTTGGCCCCGCCCATCAGCTCGGACTTCTTGTTCATTCTTAAAACTGCTCTGCGTGATGCATTCCGCTGCTCACCCACAGCTCTGGCCCCGCCCCTGACTTATGCTAGCCAATCAGAAGCCCGAGGACTTGCTTTCCGCGCTCTGGCCGCGCTCCCTTGTTCCATTGACCCCTTACAACCTCTCACTTTGGCTCCGCCCTCCGCCCCTCCCGGCCCAACCACAGGCAGGGGCGGCCTCCTGTCAGCACCCCTCACTCCAGTCCCCAAGCCCGCCGCCTCTGACCCTGCCGCTTCGACAGGTTCCACACCATGTCCATCATGCTGGCCGTGGACATCCTGGGCTGCACCGGCTCCGCGGAGGAGCGGGCAGCGCTGCTGCACAAGACCATCCAGCTGGCGGCCGAGCTGCGGGGGACTATGGGCAACATGTTCAGCTTCGCGGCGGTCATGGGTGCCCTGGACATGGCCCAGGTACTGAGGGCCGTGCAGAGCCGGCATCGATAGACTGTCTGGAAGAGCCCTGGCGTTCCTTTTGGGATGGCTGTGTATGGAATAGGAGGAGCTTTGGATTTTCTAGGCAGCATTGGTGAGAGTACCAGGGAGAACTGAGTTCTGCAAGTGCTGACCCACAGCAAGTTCTTTCCCGTCTCTGGGCCTCAGTTTCCTCGCTTGTAAAATAAAATGAATGAGGAGCATTATATGAGTTTAAAGAATAGGCCGAGCACGGTGGCTCATGCCTGTAATCCTAGCACTTTGGGAGGCCGAGGTGGATGGATCACCTGAGGTCAGGAGTTTAAGACCAGCCTGGCCATCATGGTGAAACCCTATCTTTAAAAAAAAAAAAAAAAAAGAAGAAGAAGAAGAAGAAGAATAAGGCCGGGCGCAGTGGTTCACGCCTGTAATCCCAGCACTTTGGGAGGCCAAGGTGGGCAGATCACCTGAGGTCAGGAGTTCGAGACCAGCCTGGCCAACATGGTAAAAGGTGAGCAAATCACCTGAGGTCAGGAGTTTGAGACCAGCCTGGCCAACATGGTAAAACCCCGTCTCTACTAAAAATACAAAAATTAGCCAGGCATGGTGGTGGGCGCTTGTAATCCCAGCTACTCAGGAGGCTGAGGCAGGAGAATCGCTTGAACCCAGGAGGCAGAGGTGGCAGTGAGCCGAGATCGCGCCACTGCACTCCAGCCTGGGCGACAGAGGTAGACTCCATCTCAAAGATAAATCAATCAATCAATCAATAATAAGAACAACAAAATCTCAGAGGCAGTGCCCTAGGTTCAACTTCCAGCTCTGCCACTTTTTTGGAATAACCATGGGCAAGTCATTCCCCTCTCTGAGACTTAGTTCCCTCATCTGTAAAATGGGTTGTTATGAGAGCCCCATGGGAGACGTGAAAAGCTGTCATCACTGTCCCTGGTATGTGAAGGATGGCCATAACGATAATAATTATCCCACATCTAGTTGTCCACTCAGCAGGGTGGCCCCTGCAGGCTCTCTGCCTGGCTGCTCTCTCACAGTTTGGCCTCCTCAGATTTCTCGGCTGGAGCAGACATGGGTGACCCTGCGGCAGCGGCATACGGAGGGTGCCATCCTGTACGAGAAGAAGCTTAAGCCTTTTCTCAAGAGCCTCAACGAGGGCAAAGGTACTTCCTTGCTGTGTGACTTTGGACAGGTTGCAGCCCTCCTTGGGGTGGCAAAGACTCCCAGCATGGACAGTGACGGGAGCCTGGCTAAGCTCTGTGCAGGCTGCTTGCCCTGAGCTCACTCTCCCTGCTGGCAGCTGCATCAGCACTGTCCATGTTCGGGCTCAGCCCTTGGGGCTGGACCAGGGCGGCAGTGGTTTCAGTTGGGGGAATCAGAAAGGAAGCGTTTGTCCCAGGAGTAAGGAGCCCCTGGGGCTCTCTCTGCGACCTCAGCCAGGCCCTTCCTTCCTGCACCTGGGCTTCCGGGACTGCAGTGGGTGGTGGAGGCTCCAGGGTCCCTAAGTGCCTGCTGCCTTTCTCCCTGCAGAAGGCCCGCCTCTGAGCAACACCACGTTTCCTCATGTGCTGCCCCTCATCACCCTGCTGGAGTGTGACTCGGCCCCACCTGAGGGCCCTGAGCCCTGGGGCAGCACAGAGCACGGTGTGGAGGTGGTGCTAGCCCACTTGGAGGCTGCTCGCATGGTGGCACACCACGGAGGCCTGTATCACACCAATGCTGAGGTCAAGCTGCAGGGTGAGTGGCCAGTGGCATCTTGGAGGGCCTGCAGACCAGGGCCTCTCTCCCGCTGTCTCAGTGCTCCCTTTCCACCCCTCTGTCCTGCTCTGTCTCCCTAACACCTTCCTCTCCTTCCTCTTATTCCTCTCATGTCCTTTTTTTTTTTTTTTTTAGTCTGCCATGCTTTGGAGGTACCAGGAGGCCCCATT